CGGCATTTTATTCAATTTCATTGTGTTTTTACCCGACTTTGATACGAGGAGGGTTATGTCTTTTGTATGTAATTTTTTTTGTCACGCTGTCTTTAACTTACGCAAGCTCTCACAGTACATTTAAGTTCCTAAACAATTTCAGTTCATACATGCGTGATTTGCCGACATATCGATAAGCAAACTTCCAATCTTGTCCACATTAAAACAATTAACTTAATCATAATAATAATACTAGCTACTACAGTACCCCTAGCACGAACCAATATCGAATTCGTATCGTTTGCGAGTCCGAAATGTCATTGTCAAATGTGTACTAATTTTTAGTTCTCGTTACGTACTTTGTGCCGCTGCTGTTCAAGTTTCCATACAAAATTTTAAAATTAAAAATTTTAATTTTTTTTTAATTTTTTTTAAATTTGGTACAGGTTTTTTTTTCAGTATCACAATAAGTACAAGAAAAACTACACTAATATAATAAACTTTCACCACGTTAATAAGGCAACATTGTCAAAAATTTATGTAGCGGATGTCAAAAAATTACATGTTAAAATTTTAAATGTAAATAAAGTACTAAAACAAAATAAAAGAAGATTAGAGTTGTGCTTTCAGCGAAAAACGTTAAACAAGTAACGTATATTTTTCGGAGTTATTTTTTTCCACTCTCTGAAGAAAGTTTAATATTTTATTGTTTAAGACTTTTTGTCAACTTACATTATGCTTATGTGAGCTGTATTAGCGAGACGATTTGTGCCCAGCCTGCCATTCGCCTAACGGATGGAGTATGAACGGAACGTATGAAGAATAATTGTACCAAGTTCCGTTAAAATCCGTCGAGTAGTTTTTGTTTCTATAAGGAACATACACACAGACAGACAGACAGACAGACAAAAATTTTACTGATTGCATTTTTGGCATCAGTATCGATCACTAATCACCCCCTGATAATTATTTTGAAAATATATTTCATGTACAGAATTGACCTCTCTACAGATTTATTATAAGTATAGAAGAAGATTTCTAGCCGCCTGAGGATTTTAAATGCCTCGCGCTCTTTTTTTTTCTCTCGCATTGGTAATTACAATATTAAAAAAAATGAGCGTGAGATATTTGAAAAACCTTCGGCGATCAGAAATAACAAAATAAAATCGAAAGCGTTAGCGTTTCCCAAAGCATTTCCGTTAGGCGAATGGCCCCCAGGTCGGTGCCGGCTAAGCTTGTTCACGAGCACTTTTTTTTGAGTGGTCGCAGATGACCTTTACAGCGTCACCGGGTTTAGGGACGGCGAGATCCTAAGGGGACCTCAAGCCGAGAATTGGCGAGTGCCTCTAGAGGTATTTCAGGTGGATGGCATCTCCCACGGGGGGAGTCTCCTCTCTGTCTGTCTGGACTACTCGAACCTGAGGGGGTTAGCTCAAATAGTCTCTGAGACTCTGACTTCGGCTCTAGTTAGTCAGTTCACGTCAGTTCACAGTTTTAAACAGAAAGAAAAGAAGGCGACAAGGCGCAAGTTTTACTGGTACACTCAGAAATCAGAAATCGATATATAGCTTTATTCAAATTGGATGTATAGTACAACTCTTTTTTTTCCCCTACCACTCGTTATTGGACATATTTTTTAGCTGCGGAGAAAAAACGAGCGAAAAAAACTCCACAACATTAAAAGTATAATTTAACAACATTTACAGATCATTATGTTGTTACAACGTCAATACAACCATGATTTATTTAAAATAGAAAACCTGTTGGAATGATTGGTGCAAAAAAATGCTTGGGTTTGAACCCAAGCATTTTTTTTTCTGTAATATAATCAGACATTTTGTAATAAGCTTTTTTAAACGGTTTATATAAACTGGTTACTCTGGTATCATATGCGTCTACTGGCTATGGTGACCTACAAATATATCATAAATATTAGTGGTATGGAAAAAAATGGTTTAAGAATAATTTATTAAACCAATTTTTTAAACTCTCTCAGTACAATTCATTGTGAAAGTCGACCGATATGGACATCTTCGCGGATACATTGAAGAGAATAAAATCTTAAAAAATATATCTATAAATGTTTGGTTGTGCCCACATAGTTTTTACATCCAATTATTTTTCTTTAATTTACTTTTCATTAATTTATTTTAATTAATTGATTTTTTATTAATTTATTTAATTGTTGTTGTTCAATTATTATTGAAACTTAAAATTTCATTATAATTCAAAATTGCATTGCATTAAAATTAATGCAATTATCAAAATTTTATTCGATTTACGAGTAATTGCTAGTTAAGTGTATATTGCATGTCGTAATCGTAATTAAAGTTCCACTAATAAAGTGTTTCACTATAAATGTGTCAATAAGAAAATTGTCTAAGAGTAACTTTGTTGGTGATCAAATAAATAAACATTACAAGGCAGTATTGTTTGGCTGCATTTTTCTCGAAGGTAGTTTTTCACAGGAAAATCCGTTGTATCAGTCACTTATAATTGGTTTTAACTGTGTATAGTAATGATGGTATAGTCATATTATATAGGTTTCCCAAGAAGATAAACGATTTCTTGTTAATATATCACTCAAGTGATAACGCATCCGTTTCGAGGAAACTACCTTTATGAAGTCATTATTGCCGGGCCCTGGCAGGAAAATCACAGTAGGTTTGTTATGCTACACTACGATTATATGGTATCCACTAAGATTCATAAAGATATAGAGACCAATTATTTATCAATGACAATTTCTTCCCCGTTTGAGACAAAATAAAAACAAATCCAGTCGTAAGCCTGAGGTGTGAGTAGGCTGACGGTATCAATCAATAATTTAATGCGTTCTACAATGTTTTTTTAGATCTTAGTAGGTACATTGCTTTGATCATTGTAGACCCTGAACAGGGCACAGCAAATAGAGAGTAGAGAAGAGGACGCATACACAAATTGTGATTAAGTTAATACGTATACGTATAAGAAGGGGCCTAGGACTGACATTACTAATTATCGGCCTATTTCAAAGCTCTGTATTATATCGAAGATCTTTGAAAAAATTATTTGTGAGCAACTTTATACGGCTTTGAAACATTCGTTTAGTCCTACGCAGCATGGTTTTCTGAGAGGTCGGTCTGTTGTTTCCAATCTTATATTGCTAAACGAAGTCGTTACCGCAGCCATGGATAGTGGCCATCAGGTAGATGTTATTTATACAGACTACAGTAAAGCTTTTGATCGGAATCAACATGATTTACTTTTGAATAAGTTGAAAATAATTGGCGTTGGTGGCGACCTTCTAAGGTGGTTATCATCTGATATAGATGATCGCTCACAGGCAGTCGTTATTAAAAATTATATATCTGGATGGCTTTCGGTTCCTAGTGGAGTCCCACAAGGATCCTTGCTTGGTCCGCTTTTATTTGCGGTGTATTTAAGCGACGTTGAGCAGTGTTTTCGGGCATCAAAGCTGCTATGTTTCGCTGATGACATGAAAATATTAGCACCTATCTCTACATCTGAAGACGCAAGTCTTTTACAAGAAGATCTATTGCGGCTTGATAGATACTGTACTAGTAATCATTTAGACCTTAATCCTTCTAAATGTAGTGTTGTCACATATAGTCGGAGGCGAAATATGGTATTGTGTGATTACAAATTAAAACAATGCCAATTAAAACGTGAAATGGCTGTGAGAGACCTTGGTGTATTTCATGATTCGAAGCTTCTCTTCGGTACGTATATTAATGAGGTGATCGCAAAAAGCTCTAAGGCCCTCGGGTTTATTATGCGCAACTCCAAAGATTTAGACAAGCACTAAAAACTTTATATTGTACCTTTGTTAGAAGTCATCTGGAGTATGCATCTCAATTCTGGAACCCTAGATATTCTACCTATATATCTCGCATTGAAGGCATCCAGAGGAAATTTGTACGATATCTGTGCTTTCGTACAAAGGAACTTTATCATTCAGGTCGGTACGGGGAACTCTGCAAAAAGCATCATCTTCTCCCTTTAGAGATGCGTCGCGAAATTGCGGATTTAGTTTTCCTCAGTAGGATCGCTTCTGGGGCTGTTGACTGCCCGGAACTCCTATCAAAGATCTTATTTGGAGTTCCCCCCAAACCCCTTAGGATTAATCCTATTTCAAGTATACTTCTACAAATTATCGGCAGAACGCTTTTCTTTGTCGAGCGAGTAGCAGCTTCAACTCACTACCAAAGCAGGTAAATTTAGATCTTTTTAACATTAGCGAAGCGTCGATTAGACGTATCATTGCTCGTTTGTTTTTTGGAGATAAAAATTAATGTAATAATAACAAACATTTATTTTAGACTTTAAATTCATAGAAGTGTTAGTTATTAACATGTGCGTAATTCGTTATTCTGTTATTTATCATAAGGACCTCATTTATAAAACTATATTTAAGAGATTTTTTCTACATTAGACAGTGCAAATAGTTTCTTTATTCTTTTAAGTTATGTCTAGATGAGAGGACCTGTAATTGGCTCTTTGTCGCTACTATTCATTTCTAGTATATTAAGATAAGCTGTTGGTCTTCCATGTAACCAAAATAAATAAATAAAAAATAAAAACAAATTTTCAGTTAAAATACGATCATCTTTTTACCCAACAAATAAAAATATATTAATATCAGCATTATTCAATCATTCTAGCTCAATATTATTTGATTTATCATCTTTGTCATATTCTATAGCATATTATGTTAAATTATATTAAATTTTATTATATAAAAATTAAATACAACTAGTTTTAACGGGTTAATGCACGAAACTTTATTTATTTATTGACGTATCGCAGCCTTTTCAGGTCTGCATCGTCAGAATACTGATTTTTTATTTAATTTTGTCGAGCTACCTTCGAAAGAAGGTTAAAGTTTGAAGGTTTGAAAGACAATAAAGTTTCGTGCATTAACCCGTTAAAACTAGTTTTATTTAATGAGTGATGTGCGTGAAAACCTAAGAAACAAATATATAAAAATTATATAAAATAAAATGGTATGTGTTACTCACCCATGGGCAGGATGTGTCCGAGACGCGGGTCGTCTCCGACCCCCGAGCAGTTCCACCGCCGGCCGGCCAGCTGCGCGCGACACTCCGCGTACGCCATGCTGACAACGACATCGAATAGGTACGGTAACAGAGGATTACAGTACAAAAGTCAAGTCGAAACATGACATGGATGACCGAATGGTCATTCATCCTATTACTGCCATGGCACAAGTTGCTCATGATGAGCTCGATAGCGCAAGTGGTTGGCGCGTTCGGCTGCAATCGTTGAAGTTTAGCAACTTTTGCAATGGTCGATTATTATAATAATAATAATATTTTCCACGCTCACACCAATTAGCTAAGCCCCAAAGCAAGCGCTGTAAGGATTGTGTTATGGGATGCTAGGATAACAGATAGAATACATATATTTGATACGTATACATTAGTATATTTTTTTATATAGAAACATAAATGTATAAACATCTTTGACTATGGTACAAATGCTCGTATTCATCATACTAATATTTGTCCCCACCAGGAAACCCGGGACTTCACAGTAGGCGACGCCATGAATCCCGGCGTGTATACCACTCGGCCACGGAGGTCGGTCATTGGATTGCGATGACTGGAAAAATTTACTATCTCGTGCTCCGTCCGTGGAAGGCACGTTAAGCTGTTGCTTCCAGCTGTATCTGCAGTCGTTAGCACCAACCACGCACTGGGCCGCGTGGTGAGTCACGGCTCAATCTTCCTATTCCATCCATAGGGAAGGTCTGTGCCCCAGCTGTGGGTACATTAATTGGCTGCAAATGATGAAAGTTGCTCCAATTCCACAATCTTTGAGATCTTCGTATCGTTTATTTTTCTTAATTTTTGCAGTCGGGTCAGTTTGCTTGCATACTTCAACCTTCCCGGTGTAAGTGGTGTGTACATAGGTTTTCAAGGTGTCGGTTACACAGAGGTTCTGGGTTTCAAACTCGGTGAGGCAAATATTTGTATGACGAATACGAGCATACGTAAAGTATAGCTGTTTGTACACGAGTATATATCTGGGAAAATATTCTTATTTACGTAAAATTATATGTTTTTTATATTCATTACCTTACTATCCTATGACACAAGGATTACAGTGCTTTCTTTGAGGATAGAGTAATTGCTGAGTATTGGACATACGTATTGATCACATCAAGCCGGAGCATTTGTGGTGTTTTATAAAGACAGATTAAATTATCTAACACACAATAGCGGAGCAGCCGCAGTAGGTGCCCTGAAGGCATTATTGTATTGAACACGAAGGGCATTGTATGAGTTTTGAGTAAAATGAACAATGTAATGTTTGTTAATATAATTTTGACGACCTCCGTGGTCGAGTGGTTTGTACGCCGGGTTTTATGGTGTCGCCGGGCAGATGTTTGTGTGATGAATACGACGAGCATTTGTACTCCAGTCATGGATGTTTAATATGTATATCAATAAATAAATATACTTATATATGTACAGTATATGTATTCTATCCGTCACCCTAGTATCCTATAACACAAGCCTTACAGTGCTTAATTTGGGGCTAGGCTAATAGGGATGATGACTATTTTTTTTTCTTCGTTTATCAGGTAGATTATCAAAAAGTATTGGACACGTATTTTTTCTTTTTTCACGTAATATAAACATTGCAGAGATATATTGATTTGAAAAGTCGCATGACGTCACGTTTTGGTACAATTTTCACTTAAAAGTGACGTCACGAGCCCCTACTCCCAAACTTTGACGCGCTATAACTTTGCCATTTTTTGGTTGATTGCCCAAAGAAAAAATACGTGTCCATTATTTCTTGCTCATCTAACTGACGGACTAAATAGAATTTCGTTTACCGTATCCCGTCATCACCCCTATTGGTGTGTGTTGGAATTATTTATTTATTATTTAATTTGTGAATACCTGAGTCCGCGGCCCAGTGCGGCGACGGCGGCGGGCGCGGAGTGGCACAGCGCGCGCTGCCGCTCCGTCAGACCGCGCCCGCACACCAGGCTCGCGCCCAGCAGGCCGCCGGCCCCGCCGCCTCCCACCGACCGCACCATGCTGGGGAACAATACCACAATCAACCAACGGTTCCTTCACAAACGACAACACTAGGCATAGTCACTACAGCAGGAGGATTTCCACACGGAGGGAAAGCAAAAAATAATCCTTATGATTAACTCTTTCGATGGTTATCATATAACTAGCAAACCAGTGAACCAAATGTTCACCTAAACCTGATCAAAAAAAAAATGTATTTAATTAATTGAGAACTTCGGAGATTTTGTGTGGTTTCGTTCGAAATTCGTGATTTCTCGAAAACCGGAAGTGCTACGTTACTCAAATCCGGTTTGTAGTCTTATCAGACTATTCTTAACTTATAACTTAAATATTCTCTTTATCTATCTCTTACGGTTTGGCCGCTGAAACAGCACCACAGACAGACGGACGGACTTGTCTAATAGATAAGAGATATGCTGTGTTTATTATTTCAAAATTTCACGAGTTTGTTTCCCAGCTGTAGCAAGCGATTATTATAAAATCTGTGAATGCAGTTCTTGTTAAAAATAAAATGATGTCTTCTTTCAGTAAAATATCCTGTCTTCAATATTTAATATACTTTCCCTCCGTGTGAGGTAGCCGTGGGACGCCCTGTATATGCCCTCAGCCTAAAAAATCTTCAAGGAATCGTAACATTGGCAATTTTTATAGGACCAAATCCATCCTCGTACACGACGTTGGTGCCCAGCAAGTCAACCCCGCCTCCGTCTCCCACTGACCGCACCATACTGGGGCAAACAAAACACTATCACTCAATGGGTCCAACAAGACAACGGTCAACTAAAGCCAGGGATTCCGATTCTTTATAACTGTACTCTTGTTATGCCGACGCACCTCCAGATCGAGGGGCTAGTGTAATTTCGTCAGAGAAGAGAGTGCAACCCAAGAAGGAGAGGTGGAGTACTGAGAACACAGAATAATCTCCGTGGGTTGGTGAATGCTAACGAGTGCACTTAGTGCTACCAGCTGGCATTAAGACTAACAGCTTGAAATAAATACCTTCTAATATACAGATAATAAATAGCAGATCTTTACGATGATCAACTATACTCATGCGCGGCTCATTACCGATGGCGCTTCCTTGCAGCCTAAGAAATGCTAGAGAAAATTCGACACGGCCATCAGGGCCGTGGTAGCATAATCAGGCAGTCATCGTCGCAGAACGAGACGCGACGCACGTGAGGGCAGTGACCCCTGACGTTGTTATTATTTTACCTATACGTGTCGGTTACAAATTAGAAAATGACTACGATTGTGAAATGCGCTACGTGCAATATCGTGATAAGTGAAGTGTTAGCATTCATCCAAAATAAGCTGGATGTAATGGATGTGGAAAGTTTGATTAGGATCTGCAGCACGGCATTTACTGTGGCTGATGTGGTGACGGCGAAGACGTTGCTTTTTGAATCGCTTACGACTAAGAAGAAAAAAGTCTCACGACGAAAAGAAGGAAAAATACAAAGAGACTTGGAGGATATAATAAGCCTTATGCAAGATACGGATCCCAATTGCACACCTATCTTTGTAGCGAGGGATTTGCAGAAGTTGCCACCGGTTACATTTGACCATATTGATGTCACTCGGCTTTTGAAACAATTGACATTGTTGCAATCTGATGTAAAAAGCATTAAAGAATCATACGTATCAAAACAAATGATTGAAGATTTAAAATGTGAATTAACCGTCAAGAACAGTAACGACAATAAATGTTTGTCATATAACTTTGAGCGTAATGTCAATACTCGTAGAGGTGCATTTAACTTGGACAGTGGGCCTTCTGCATTATCACCTGCTACGATCGTGAACAGGATTGTTCCGGTCGTACGCGCTCTCTCTCACCTGCGGACGGCGGCAATATTGCGTGCTCACCTGTGTCACTCGAATCACATAAAAAACGAATGAGCGGTATGAACCCTGTGTCAAGAACGGAATTACCGATATTGAATGACAATAATAAGCTGTTAACGCAAAAACTGACTATGGCAGAAGCGTTAAAACAAAAAGGAAGTTGGAGAAAACCAAATACTGATGAAAAATGGATAACTGTACAAAAACGCAGATTACGAAATCGGTTTGTAGGATGTAAAGGTAAAGCGCAACAGGAGCCGGCCACTACTTTTAAAGCCGCTGATAAATTGGTACAATTATTTATTTCAAATATACACAAGGACACAAAAACCGAAGACATAGAAAAATATATTTTGACGAAAACCAATAAGAGTGTTGTGTTGGATAAAATAATAATGGCACGAGACAAAGGCTATCATGCTTAAAAATTTGCAATACCTGAAAAAATGTTAGACACCTTCTTGAACGATACACTATGGCCGGAAGGTGTTTCTTTTAGGAAATACATAAACTTTAATGGACGGAATCCAGACAGAACTAATGGTATTCTGAACGGAGGCAATAAGAAGAATATTATTCATGGCTAATACTGTTAAATTTATGAGTTTTAACTGTAAAAACGTCATAAGATCTGTTGATTGTATAAGGAAACTTTGCAAAACAGCAGACCTGAAAGCCCTTCAAGAGACTTGGCTTTTACCACACGATCTCGCGTTCCTGAGCAGCATTGATGATGATTTCGCCTATACAGGAAAATCTGCAGTAGACACATCTGCTGGTATACTTCGAGGAAGACCTCATGGTGGTGTAGCTATTATGTGGAGAAAAAGTTTGTTCACGTCTGTGGCTGTCATTGACTGTAACAGTGTGCGTGTGTCGGCTATAAAGGTAGCTCTGCAGAACAGGTCAGTGCTATTTTTCTCTGTTTATATGCCAGTTGACTCAAATGAAAACCTAGTAGATTTTACCGAGTGTTTAAGTGTTATTAATGCAGTAATTGAAAGTAACAATACGGAATCTGTTATCATACTGGGTGACTTCAATGCACACCCTGGAGAACTTTTTAGTGAAGAACTCTTGAGTTTCTGTGCTGACCAAAGCTGGATCTGTGTTGATTTAGAAAGTTTACCCCCAAGTACTTACACATTTGTCAGTGAGGCTCATGGTTGTCAACGTTGGCTAGATCATTGTATAATGACTGAAGCAGCATATCAGTCATTCTTAAATGCCAGCATTTTATATGATGTTTATTGGTCGGACCATTTACCATTAATGATTGTTTGTGATTTTAATATGATAAGACCAAAGACAACCTACACTAAATTAGAATTTAATAATAATAATGTGATCTGGGGTGAACGTGATGCTAGTCAAATTGAATTATATAGTGCCTTTTGTAACAATAAGCTTAAACAAATAGATTTTCCCCTAGAATTTAATTATTGTAATAGTAAAATCTGTGATAATACAAGACATAGAATAATAATTGATGACATGTATAAAAATATTATTAATGTACTTTCTGACGCTGCAAAGAATAGTTGTAAGACTGAATTTAATCAAAAAAGACGAAAATATATTATTGGATGGAACAAGCATGTTAGTGATGCTCATAGGGAGGCTCGGCTTGGTTTTCAATTATGGGTACAATATGGAAAACCTAGAGATGGGTTAATTTATCAAAAAATGAATGAGACAAGAAAAGTTTTTAAAAGAAAATTAAAATGGTGTCAGGATAATAAAGATCGCATTCGTATGGACATTATTGCATCTTATCATACTGATAAGAATTTCAGTAAGTTTTGGAAAGAAACCAACAAATTGAACTCTAGGCAGGGGTTGCCTGTGAGTGTTGCTGGTGCTAATGAGCCTAAGCACATAGCAGATTTATTTAAAAATAATTTTGGACTTGTATCGCTTTTAAACTGTCAGACTTGTGTGTGCGACACTGAGGTTCAATTACAACCAAATGAGACAGATATACAAATTATTTTTACTGCAAAACAGGTTACAGATGTTATTAAAAATATGGTTAGAGGTAAATCACCAGGACACGATGGCCTCAGTGTCGAACATCTGCGTTATGCTGGAGCCCACCTGCCTAGACTTCTGGCTATACTTTTTTCTTTATGTATCAAACACTCATATATTCCAATTGAGATGATGAAAACTATTGTTGTGCCAGTAATTAAAAATAAAACAGGTGATGCCTCCGACATGGGCAATTATAGACCCATCTCCTTGGCTACTATAATAGCTAAAGTGCTGGACAGTTTGCTTGAGGCACATTTGAATAACCACCTGAACTTGCATGATGCCCAATTTGGTTTTAGACCAGGGCTATCTACTGAAAGTGCAATACTGTGTGTCAAGGAAACTGTCAAGTACTATACAGAGAGGAAAACACCCATATACGCTTGCTTTCTTGATCTCTCAAAAGCGTTCGATTTGGTGTCTTATGATGTTCTGTGGCGGAAGCTGATATGTGAGACCACTGTACCAAGGGAGATAATATTTCTTCTAAGATATTGGTACAGGAACCAAATAAATTATGTGAAATGGGCAGGGGTTCTTTCTGACGGGTATGGCTTAGACTGTGGGGTGAGGCAGGGGGGGATCACCTCTCCATTGCTCTTCAACCTGTATATGAACCGCCTTATAGTCGGGCTCAGTGGTACCAAGGTCGGTTGCCATATAGGTGGTGTCAGTGTCAACAATATAAGCTACGCTGATGACATGGTGCTACTGAGCCCTTCGATAAGGGGACTGAGAGTATTACTGAGTAAGTGTGAGTCTTATGCGGTGGCCCATGGACTCAGATATAATACTACCAAGAGTGAGATCATGGTTTTTAAAACGCGAGGAAAAGACCTTACTGTGATACCATCTGTACATCTCAATGGAAAGCCATTAAATAGGGTATCGCATTTCAAATATCTGGGTCACTGGCTCACTGAGAACTTATGTGACAATATGGACGTGGAGAGGGAAAGGAGGTCACTGGCAGTCCGATGTAACATGTTGGCTCGGAGATTTGCGCGAAGTACTTTAGAAGTGAAATTGACTTTATTTAAATCATACTGCCAATCATTCTACTCGTGCGGTCTCTGGGTTGACTATACGCAGAGGGCCTACAACGCTTTACGTGTAC